AAAGGCTTCTACTTCCTACTATGATGCATCGACACGCCTCTTAAAGAGGGTATGTAGTGTCGGACACGCATCGGACACGGCATGGACACGTGTCCGACACGGCATTGGAGTGTCGCAATTTAAAAAAATTAAAATTAAAATCGGACACGCGTGTCCGGTTATTAAATGATAAAATCGTTCATTCTATTTTGCCTTTTCCGCGAACTAGAAGCCTTATTTTTCCGATCCACGAAAGAAATTTTCTAAGGCGGACCGGGAGAGCTCGCAGTCGATGCCAAACGGAGCCAGCTGCCTTCGCCTCTTATTCCTTCGTCATCTCTGCTCGAGCCGAGGCCAAGGAGAGCTCGTCTTTCCCATTCCTTCATTCTTGGGTGATTTCTGCGGTCATCCAAGGCAAAGTTCGCAATCAAGGCCAAACAGAGTACCTTCTGCGCGCAAGAGAGCCAAAACCTGTAAGTGGATTTCGCCATTTCTTCTCTTCATTGTTGAAAAACCTAATGTACATGCTCGGTACCGCTCAATACATGCTCGGTACCACTAGGTACATGCTCGGTACTGCTCAGTACATGCTCGATACCATTCAGTACATGCTCGGTACTGCTCAATATATGCTCGGTACCGCTATGTACATGCTCGGTACTGCTCAGTATATGCTCAGTACAGCTCAGTACATGCTCGGTACAGCTCAGTACATGCTTGGTACCGCTCAGTACATGCTCGGTACTGCTCAGTACATGCTCGGTACTGCTCAATATATGCTCGGTACTGCAAAGTACATACTCGGTACCACTCGGTATATTCACATACAAACAACTTACTAACTTTAAAAACAAGCAGAACTTCAAAATTACTCGAACCCCGCCAGGGGTCAGCGCCCCCTTGAACCCCCGGCAGACCGGTATATTGTTGTATTCATGTTGTCTTATTTTTAGGATATTTTGATTTCACTTCATATCAATTTAATTTAATTTATTCATATGTATGATTGGTTTGTTAGCAAAATGAGCTCTGCTGTTGGCGGGAGTGGATTAGGTGAAGGTTCAAAAGAGCCATCTGTAGAAACTAATAAGCCGTTATGGATTCATGTTACAAAGTTAGGAAAAACATTTGAAGGATGGAATGTGTCATTCAAATGCAATTATTATGGTGGCACCTACAAAGGATCTTATTCTAGGGTAAAGGCACATCTACTTAAAATTTCTGGCCATGGAATAAAAATGTGTCCTAAGATTACTACATCGCAGTTGATTGAAATGAACATACTAGTTGATGAAGCTGAATCTAGGATCCAAAGGACACTCCCTAAAGAGATACCCTTGCCATCTACTCATGGCTCATCCCACACTTCTTCCTCATCTGTGAGAGTTGATCAAGCTTTATCATTTAGAATTGAAGGATATGAAACAAAGAAAAAAAAAGAGTAGCCAGTAGTCCTCTAGAGAAGACTTTTAATTTGCAGCAATGAGAGGAAGCGGGACTTCTTTTCAACATTGCAAGGAATCCTCATTATAAAAATGCATTTATTTTTGCATGTAACAATAACCTCGCAGGAGATGTTCCACCTTGCTACAATGCATTAAGATTAAAATTATTAGAAAGAAAAAGAGCACATATTGAGACATTGCTTGAACCAACAAAAGGAGTGTGAAAAGAAAAGGTGTTAGTTTGGTGTGTGATGGTTGGACAGATCCTCAAAGAAGATCCCTTATTAATTTCATGGCCATTACAGAGAATTACCCAGTGTTTATTAAAGCAGTGAATTATGAAGGAGAATGCAAGGATAAATATTTTATTGTCAATTTGATTAAAGAGGTGATAGTCATGATTGGGCCTTCAAATGTTGTGCAGGTTATTACAGATAATGCACCAGTGTGTAGAGCTGTAGGATTATTGGTGAAACAAACTTATCCCTATATATTTTGGACACCATGTGTTGTGCACACTTTAAATCATGCTCTAAAAAATATTTGTGCAACAAAGAATACAGAGGTTAATGAAATCATCTATGCTGAATATCATTGGATAAAAGTGGTTGCAGATGATGTTGTTCTGATTAGAAATTTTATTATGAACCATTCGATGAGACTTTCTCTCACTTGAAAATGTTAGCTGTTGTCGAAACTCGTTTTGCCTCTGTAATAATCATGTTGCAAAGATTCAAACAAATTAAAAATGCTCTTCAATCTATGGTGATTAGTGAGAAGTGGTCTTGCTATCGAGAAGATGATGTTCAGAAGGCAAGATATGTTAAAGAAAAGATTTTAGATGATTTGTGATGGGATAATATAGATTACATTTTGGCTTTCACTGATCCAATTTATGATATGTTGAGAGAGGCTGACATAGATAAATCATGCCTACATTTGATTTATGAGATGTGGGACTCTATGTTAGCAAAAGTGGAAGAAATTATATACAGACATGAAAGAAAGTCACATTATGAAAACTCAAGTTTTTGGAGCATTGTCTATACCATTCTTGAAGATACGTGGAGCAAAAGCAACACATCTTTGCATTGTTTGACTCAGTCATTAAATCCAAGGTATATTTATATTTATCTTTTAAATTAATTTAAATTTGTTGGTAAATGAACAGATAATTTTATATGTTTTAAAGTAATTCCATCGAACATGCAAAGCATTAAATACAAGAGTTGTATAAGGGATATATATATATATATATATGAGATTGAATGTATTCTTTATAGATAAACAAAGTTTATTCTCCATGGACCGGTCCAGCCGGTCCATCATGGATGGACCGACCCTAGTATACCAGAGGCAGAACAAGAGTTCTGCCCAGCAGGGTTGGGCCCCTTTGGGATGGGTCCAGCAACCTAGTTTAAGAGGGAATTAAGGTAGGATTAGGAGGGAAAATTCAAGGAGGGGCTGTTTTGAGATTTACTTCATTATTGTATGCTTTTAAGTGGGATTTTTTCCTAGGGTTAGGGTTATCTCTTATTTGCTGAAATTATAGTGTTCTTAGGGTGTTTTGGGCTCTAACCGGTAGCTAGAGAATTGGGAGATCCGGATCCTCCTCTCCAATTGAGGATCCTATTATATCTTGTTTTTCTTTGTTTAATCTTCCAATTCCAATAAAAAAATTGTTTGTGGGCATTCTTCTTCCCAAATTTTCTTGTTTCATCCATTGATTTTGTGAAAAAGGCTTCTACTTCCTATCAGAATGTTGCTATACAATTTGAGGGGAAGTTCTTTATTGAAGTTACCAACATTGGAGGTTAAAGTGAATATTGGTGGCAAAAAGCAAATGATAATCCTCTAACAACATATGTAGGTCTTTACTGGTTGTGAAGATTTTGGGAGTTCGTTGGTGAATAGATGGACTAAAATCCATAGCCTTTGAATGATCGGGTGATGCTTCTTTTATAACTGTGGTCGATGGTCTGATTCATACGTTGCAATAATGAAAGGCTAGTGGTTTATAGTAATGATAGTGACTGGGCGATGCCAACACATTTATTAAAGACAAGATAGCGTTCTGTTGATGTATGATGAAGTGAAAAACCCAGTATTTTGGATAGGTGTAGGTGGCAAGTACCAAAGCCCTACATGGGGCCCTGGTTGGGTACCCATGCTTTACTCGGATGGGCTTTGCCCACCCAATGTGACTTTCAGGATGCCATACCCACCCACTTTCCATGCTTTTTGAATGCAATCTATCACGGATTGATGGCCTTGAGGTTTGTTGCCCTTTGCTCTGATTGTAAACTTTCAAGACGCATATCAAAATTTACCGTAGTCACAATGTGGTTAAGTGCTGCACATTACGTAGTGAGGATTGCAGTAATATAAGATATACGGTGATTAGTAATGTAAATCGATTTATCCCCCGATGCTGAGTACCCACCCATACTCACCCACAAGGTCATGAGCGTATCCATACCCACCCATACCCATTGTGTATGGGTGGGTACATGAGTGGGTGTGAGTATGGGTACCCAATGCAGGGCTCTAGTGACAACCCATTGTTATGGCATTGAATGATGAGCCACAGATTCTTTGTTCAGCAGCAGCAATGCGTCACATTGAAAGTATTTTGCTTTTGGCGAGATATTCCTTCAATTGTAGTATATTGCCATAACTGTCCTTTTATTTTGCTGGAGGAAAGGGCGTGACTGGCCTTTCGGCAGGCTTAAATATTTTGCTATGAAGAGTCAAAATATTCATTTAGAAAGCTTGGAGATTTCAATGAATGCAGGTGCAATTTTTAGGAATATAAAGAGATTTAATTTTGATTTATAACTTTCTTTATCCACCAGCACACACACGCAAAACTCAACAATTCCTATTGCAGTTTATAATCGTTCACACCGTTTGTTACCGTACAATTATTCTAAGGTACTTCTTTTAACGTCCCTACGTTTAACTCTTTTATACTTGTCTATATCTTAACTAGTCTGTAGAAAATTCTTTGTCAAAGTTGCATATAGTTCAAGCTCCCCAATTATTAAGCAGGAAAGAAGAATTTCGTATTGTACATTGCTATTTAAGCTTCGTTTAGGACAGCTTTTTTAATGCTTTCAAAACATTTTTTCAGTTAAAAAAAATCTTGAATTAGAAATTTTTTTGATGAAAAGTTGTTTTAGAAAGCAACGAGAAAGCTGTCCCAAACGAAACCTTAATCTTGTTGTCGAGTCATATGTTTTTGTTTGATTCTCTTCAAATTGTTGTCCATTAATGTCACGACCTAATCCAGAAACTCGACTTAACGAGGCGGGAACGAAAAGTTGAACGGTAGTAACTATTCAATTCATATTAACATGCAACTTCTCAAAGCGACTGAAGAGCCACTATTATTTAGATGTTATATAAATATATATTAAAATTTAGATATTAGACGTATAAATAGATAAGAATGATATGATATGTAAATATAAAACACCCCTTATCTATTTCTTTAACTACAGATTTCACGCAACCAACTTGCCCAACTTCTATAACTGCATATATTTGATGACAAACTTCATATTTTATTGACAGAGCTCCAGGTCCTGATAGAAGATCAGTTGGTCTACAGGAACATATAGATCACCCTCTTCTTGATAGCCTTCTGATACAGCGGTAAATAACAAGTATAAAGTTCATTTTATCCTTGAACCTGATCATGAGAGGAATTTAAAGCAACCAATATGAAAGGATATTAAGATCAAGCAGAGCTGCAAAACTTTGAAGGTTAGGGAAGTAATATATATATATTGTCATTCTTGTAAATTCTTTCTTTTTTTTTGACAAACAATTTGTGTCTTCTTCTTAGCTAATGTGATTGTAGTTAGAATATTTGATTATTTAACACCCCTTATTATTTCCATATTCATGTTTTATCAAACATTATTGGAATGCAAGACCTAGCAACATTTATTTTTTTTTTCTAGTTCTGCTCTTATCAAATTTTAATGGAATAGTCCTCTAACATATAATGCATTGGTTGGAAATAATTTGGAAAATTTTGATGGGTCGAGTTTGAGCTAATAATAATATGGAATTATACTGACTAAGGCTTCATCTGAGGTGAAATTATTTTGTGCGGTCATTGGACGTCGTCCGGAGGCGAATCAGGATGTGTACCACATCATTGTTTTGTTGTCTACCAGTGTTGTGTCACGTTGTGTATTGGGTGACGTGACACATCCTGATTTGCCTCCAGATGGTTTGATGATCGGTGACCGCAGAATAATTTCTCATTTGAGATGGATTTTTTTATTGCTTTTTAAAATAACTTTTTAGTATAATTCAAAAAACTAAAGTATAGATTATAAGAAATAGTAAAATCCTATTTAGAAATTGGTCGTTCGTATTATGTAGGGTTCAATTATGGAAGTGATTTTTCTCTTTTAAATTAAAAATTAATTTAAATATTTTAATAATAATAAAAAATAGATAATATATAAATTACTCGACCCATAAGACAAAGTTTTTTGGTAAGTTGGCATGTTTAGTTGTCTTAAAGATATTGAGTGAAGACAATTATATTAAATTTTGTGGCCCTATCTCTTTAGTGAGCAAATCAAATATTTTTTTTTTAGAAATAGGAGATAAGTTTGAGAAATATGAATTGGCCTTTTTTATAATATTATTAATTAAATATTTAATTTTTCATTTGAGGAAAAATAATTAAAATGGTAGGGACTATTTTGATTTTTTTACTTTGGTTAGCTAAAAAAGGAATACAATGTAAAAAAAAAAACATTATAAAATAAATCTATATTTTTTTTTAACCAAAATGAATGTAATGTAAAATCTACAAATAGTGGCGACCGACGATTATCAACGACAGTGGTCAGTAGTGGATGGCGGCAGTGGTGGTAGCCAATGTTTGGTGGCGAGGGCGATGGCCAATGCTGATAGTCGTGGTCGGTGGGTGGCAACGGTGGCGACCGGAGGAGGGTGGAGGCGGCCGGTGGTGGTGTTCAGCAGGTGGTGGTCGGGGTGTGGTGGTGGACGAAGGCCAGTGGAGGTGGCCGACTGAGGTTGAAGGCAGTCAAGCGAGCTTACTTAAAGTGTAAATCATTCTCTATCAAAACCTAAGTGAATTTGGTTTATCTCAAAAATGAATTCAAGTAGTTTACACTATATTTATTTTACTTTGCATTCATTTATCATCCAACTAAACACCAAAATTTTAAAAACCCTCCATTTAGAATACTTAACATCATTTGGAATCCAACCAAACAACCCCAATTTTGATGAACATTATTAAATAATTTCCTTATGATAATGTTAAAAGATTTTTTTTTTCCATTTCTTTTAGGAATACACAATTTATTTTTATTTAAAAAGTTCTCTATTTACAAATTGAGTTCTCTTATCATTATTGTATAAATAAATATTTTATTAATGGATATCATCTAAGACATAATCCAAAAGACCTTAATAAATATAAAATGCCTTGTTTGTTTGGCAGCAATCCCAGCTTGGGGTGTAAACAAGTCGAGTCAAATTGAATTCTTATTTAATCGAGCTAAACTCATTTAACTTTTTTTAGCATAATCATGAGCTCACACTCAAGTGAAAAAAATGAGGCTGAAGCTCAATAAGAAAGCTCGATATTGACTAATTTTGAAGATCTTTTTTTTTTTTTGTTGCATTTGGATAAAAATTAATTAATTATGCTAATATAAATATCAATGCATTAATTAACATTAATCAACGTGGACCAACAAGTTAATAAATTGAGTCAGGCCAAACTCGAGCTCGAGCTCAAGCTAATATAATATATGAGTTCGAATTCAAATTAGTGGCTTGAGAAGCTCGACTCGTGAGCTCATTGACATGTCAAATTTGAACAAGCTCACAAGCTGGCATGGCTCACTTACACCTCTAACCCAAATAACCAAAACATTCCTTACTAAAAAAGGATGTGAGAGTGTTTTATCAAATGAGAAATTTCTTATTTTGAATGAAAACTTTATTACATAATAAAATCATTTAGAATAAGTTTTAGATTTTTTTTTTTTTTATTCTCCTTTCGAATGCACTATGAGGAGCTATTTGATTTTAAGCAGAAAACCTAAAATTTAAAATAATTTACCTTTAAAAATTATTTATTAGAAAACAAATAAACCAAACAAATTACAATTGTGAGTTAAGGCCATAAAACATAGTGAACTCATCAATGAGTTAAGGTCATCTAAAATTGTTTTAGTGAGCATAATTAACCAATGTGTATTCAATCCAAAAATCATTAAAAAAACATAAAAATCTATTTGCTTAGCTCTCCTATAGGAGAAATAATTCCGTGCGGAGTCCGGACGGGAAGAACTGTCCGGACTATGAATATATACATTGTGTATAAACAATATGTACAAAAAATTGATACACAATGTATAAACTTACATGTTCGTACGATTCTTCCCTTCTGGATTTTGCACAGAATAATTTCTCCTACTAGAGAGCAGACCAATATTTCAAGGCTATTCTTAGACATCATTAGAACTTCACAAGCATAAATAAATGTAGTCAAGAGACTTCATTATTAATTCATATTTATAATATAGATATGGGTGTCAATAACTAATTCAAATCATCAATTAGATTTGAACCTGATTAAAAAAAATATTTTGATTGGTTTGATTGATTTTTGTGTTGAATTTAGATTAAAAAAATTGAATCGATTAAATTATGGGTCGGTTGGATTGACTCAGAAATCTAAAATGGATCAGATTATCATTTGGGGGTGAAGTCAGATTATCGTCGTTGCTGTTTTGCTTCCTGGTTTCGCAGGAGGTGTACGATTGCACGAGTGGCTTCTTTGGCTTCTTCGTTGAGGCAAATTATTGGGTCAGGTGACCGAAGCCATCTCTCCGTTCGGTCACCTGACCCAATAATTTGCCCTTCGTTGAAGTTCGACTTCGCTCCTTCGACGACATTCCCTTTTCCTGTTGGATCGGAAGTTACGACGTTTTGATCGGAAGTAAGGGCGGGAGCTCGCTCGCTGTGAAGGTAACTTTCTCCCTTTCGCGCGCTTCTTTGGCCAAATACCGTTAATCCGCCGAAGCACAGGATTTAGTTAATCCGGGATTTACGGCAAAAGAGGGAACGGAGGATTTATTCCACCGTGAGATTTAAGTCGAGCGTAAATCCCGTTTGGCAGGATTTACGCTAAATCCTGCTCACATCCGGCGTAAATCCTGTTGCCAAACACCCCTAAAACTTCTTCGCCTCCTTCGACGACGTCCTCATTATGTCGGATCGGAAGTAACGGCGAGAGCTCGCTCACTGTGCAGTTAACCATCTTTCTCCCCTTGCGGGCTCTTCTTCGTCTAACTCTCGTAAATTCGCTGAATTCCAGGATTTAGTAAGTTGTTTGGTTGGCTAAAAAAGGAATAATTTGGAGTTGTGTAGATTAGTGTAAAGTAAATCAGGTGAATGTTTTTGTTATTTGGTTTTAAATAAAATGAATGTAGTGTAAAACTCAAATAATTTTAAAACGCTTGCGTTTGAAATACTTTACACTCGTTTTTCTTCCAACCAAATAGCCCCTAAATACAAGATTTATGCCAAAAATAGGGTAACGACTAATTTATATCACTGTGAGATTTACAGGATTCTCAAATCTTGTTTGGCAGGATTTAATCTAATCCTCCTCAAATTTTGCATAAATCCCATTGCCAAACAACCCTAATATTATTTGTATCAGCTCCCAAGTATTACCTTTAGAATAAAAAAAGCCAATGGATTGTCGATGTCGGCTCTAACTATCGTTGTTAAACAGAATTCACCAAGTATTGGATTGTTCACCAACCAATAGGTAATTTGAGCTGGCTTAGACCGTTGTGAGACAGGTTAGTTTTACCCTATTGATGATCATGTCACGTTAGTAATTCAACCTAGTACGAGAGGAATTGTTGATTTACACAATTGGTCATCATGCTTGATTGAAAAGCTTGTGGCGTGAAGCTACCGTGAGCAGGATTATGATTGAACACCTCTAAGTCAGAATCCACACTAAAAATGCGGCGCCTAAGACCATCGTCGCTTGGTGACCAGTAGTAGGGGCTTCGGCTCCCATGGGCACGTGACATGGGATGCATTCATGTCAGTCATTTAGATCACTAGCACAGAGGCTCTGAAATGCAGTTCCGAACAGACGATGGGTTGAATCCTTTGCAAACGACTTAAATTTGAGATGGGGCACTGTACGTGGCAGAGTGACATTTGTTGTCACGATCCACTGTATCCCTATGTCACAGCATATTTGTAATATATATAATGTGTATTAATTATTCTTGTTTTGAAACTTTTTTTTTCCTTTATACAACCCATATTTTCCCATTTATTGATATTCATCTAAACCCTGTGTTACCTTTGATTTAGTCACCTTTTTTTTACTTTTTTTTTTGTTATTTATTTACCACTGCAGGTGAGAATATGAACAAAAAAAGGAGTCAAAGGGAGGAGCAAACGGAGGAGGGGAAGTGTGTTGAGTTCATACTAATAAACCTATCGAAAACCTTTTTGGTTTTACTTTAGCCTTATTTGAATTAGTCATTCTTCTTATTAACATCATTAGTATATATATATATATATATATATATTTGTCAAAAAAAGAATTTTATGTGACACTTTTGATGTTAACTTGATAATGTATTAAATTACAACACTTCTAAATGAAGCTGAGGAGACAAACTTATAACCTAAGTGGTAAGAAAACAACTGATTAAATGTGTACACACACCTCTAACAGTTTCAATCAAAGTTAATATAGCAAAATGACAGAGCACCTGACTTGGAAGTAATCACATGAATGTGATTCCAGCAGTTGAGGGTAAATTGAAAGGAATCCCTATATAAACTGTTTTACACGTAAATGGAGAACTACAACAGACAAAATGGTAAGTCAGAAAAGATGGTGAAATTTTGCTATTAGATGCGATAATCAATAGACCAAAGAAATTTAACTTACTACAAGAAATATTTCTATAAGAGAAACAACTTTAAATCAGTTTCTCTATTATCTTAGGATTGTAATAATTATTCCTTCACCAAACATTTTTGTTTTTGATTGATTCTTTCCAGTTAGGTCCTCATCCAGTATGTAAATTTCTTTCTTGTTTAATCCAGGTCTTGCCTATTTGTGTTGGAGTTTTTCATTCTGCGTATAGAACTTTTTGTGAAACCAAAAGAAGGACGTTTTATTATCATGGATGCTACAGGACGTTTAGAAATTTCTCAAGGTGAATCATTCATTGATGTCAAATCCTTTTTTGAATCTGCTCCACCTCTGAAAAATAGTGACAGTATCACTCAGAAGGTGAAAGAATTTATTCATCAGAATTCTCAATTTTCAGGTGAACAGGTTTTACTCGATTGAATTTATTGAACAGTAATTTTTTCAATTATGCAGTCAAGCCCGACTTGTTGTTTTGGTAATTTGCTCGTCTCAGGAAATGCCAAAAGTGTTGGGGTTGTTTGTGTAACTTCTGGAGGCACAACTGTCCCCTTGGAACAACGTTGTGTGCGGTACATTGATAATTTCAGTTCAGGCAACAGAGGGGCTGCATCTACTGAGTATTTCTCCATACTTATTTCCTGTAGCTTTTTATTTGTTAGATTTAATTGTTTTAAGATGGTCTCTGGTCTTATGTTGTAGGTACTTTGTGAAAGCTGGATATGCTGTTATCTTTGTGCATAGAAGGTACCAAACATTTCAAATATCAATTGTGTGCGTGTTTGTAAGACTAGCATTCTTATGTTATAGATATAGTTTTCTTGACTTTAAGAACCAGCGACCTTTTTGCCTCTAAGAGTTGTAATGTTCTTGTACATTGGTATTGCTTTTCCATGAAAACATTATTGACATCACTTTCATTAAAATACTTCATCATTAACTTTCAACTTGGAAAGTGAAGTCGCACAGTTTTCTTTTTGACAGGGGAAGTTGTCAGCCTTATTGTAGATACCTTCCCGAAGATTCATTTCTTGAGTTCTTTGAAGTTTTGAACGATTCAGAAATTCAAGGTTTGCAGGCTTTACCAAGCCAAATTAGCATAAAAATAATTAGATAAAGATTAAAGATTTTTGTGTAATGAACTTGTCCGTAATTTCATCAAGTACTTTTACTAGAGATTTTCAAGAAGACTTACATTATTAAGATTATTTGTATTCACGGCCCAATTTACTCATGCAGTGTTTAAAATAATGTTTTTAAGTTGGTATACAGTGATTCATCATCCTCGAAGCATTATGAGCTGCATTTCAACTACATTTGGCTTTTTTCATACTCATTTGCATACATTATTGTTCAAGTTCTTTACAGTATCTTTTGCACAACTTCTAACCAAATTGGTATGTTTGGTTTACTTCTTTTCCTTCTTAATAATTGCACTTTAAATTTATCTAGACATCTTATTTTTAATATTTTTCGCTCCATTTTACATATTCAAAGTCACTTGAGTCTCAGTAGGTGATACTCCCACTATCATTATAATATAATTATTATTTTTATCTATCTTTGTTATTTCCACGCATTTATCGTAACACTGTTTTTTCACTCTCTACTAGGGAGAAAATGGCCAAAAAGGTTTCTGGACTATTTGCGGGGAGTGATTTTAGTACCACATCCGAATGAGTTCAACTCTATCATTCGAGATCTGAGAGATATTGATGTGATTGTTGATAATGTCTATCAAGCTTTATTACTATTTCTCTCTTGCATGCATATTTGAGCAATTCAATTATTAAGATCTGAAAGTATTGTTGCTTTGTCCAACTCCCATTTAAGGGATATTTTAGAGGCATGAATCTTTTTTTAAGATAGTATGATTCATAATAATTATGTTCTTATAATTTTGTAGTTATTTTCTTATCGTATAGCCAAAATAATTAACTATTGCACATCTAGACATTGTTTTATCTTCTGAAAGTATTGTCTGATAATTATTAATTAATAATCCAGTAATATTTATATAATGCTCTTAAATTTTGTCCTATTAATCCTGAAACCCTTGCCTTTTAAAAAATAAGTTATTATTCAAACTTTTCACTCATTTCAAAAGAGGTGTTATCTATTAGCACCAAGTTATAAATAAATAGCATTGACCAATGCAGTTCAATTTGGATATATTGTCTATGAATTTCCATGTTAATACAAAAAATACGAACTTATTGAAGATTCTTGATATGGGCCTTGTTTGATTGGATTGTTGTTATGTAAAATGAAGTTTTAGAAACCGATGCTATGAAAAAGGTTATTTCAATAATATATTGTTGTTTGAGTAATATTCTTTTTAAGTGCTTATGAAAACCTGCAATTTGATATTAATTGTTTGCTTAGGTTTTAAGCTTTAGCGATTTCACAATAAAGACTAAATTACCCATTTCTAAAACTTAAATATATATAAACAAAAAATTTATACTATCAGACAAGATAGGATTAGCCATTCTTACCTGAGCTGGAGTAGCCATCAACTTCGGGCTGTCAAATAGGTCGAGATTTTCTTAAGAGAGCGATGAAGTAGAGGAGTGGAGATGCCGACGACGAACCGAGAGGGCTCCTCCTGCTCTCTAAACAAACTCATTGCTATAATCCGATGAAGTAATTGTAGTTGTCATTTTTTTTAGATCTAAAAGTACATGTGGGCTCCGAAAATTTGGCCCTGGCCTCCCCGCCGCGCTGATTTGCTTACTTTTTCTTTGGCGAGGGAGTTCTAACGGAATAAGTTCCGGGGTAAATTTTGGAAGGCAGTTGATTTTGTAGATAAGACACTACCCAGAGATTTCGCCCTCATTTTGCGAGGACTTTATGATCTGAGTTCTGGTTTCCTATAGGCGCAAGCCCCTATAGTTAATTACCCCTCCCGATCACGAGAGAGAACTTTCGATTAAGGCTAGTCGTCAATCAGATACGTAGAACATACGTGCTATTTGGCATATAGTAGCAGCATGGATTTAGATTTGGAAATGTTTGAAAGTTTGGAAATTTGGAAATATTTAATATTTAAAATAGAAATTTCACCATTTTTCAATTAAAGCGGATGGTGGGGGAATGGATGATGGACCAGATCAAGATCCCATGGTTCCGTCGTCCCGGGCCATAGTGGTCCCTGGCCTACTTAGTCAGAGGAGGTAGTCGACCCCTGACAGAAGGATCCTTGTCGGCAGCTATGGGTTGCTTCGTCCATGGGTACCTTATAGATCTGGGGTGAATGTTTGTCTAAGGGTGCAAATTTGAATCCACCTTAGCTAACAGTGGGTTTTGTGCCCTATCGATCATATCCTATTGATTCATATCTCAAGGATTTGATGCCAATAAGGAGCGTATTGGCTCTGGCCATAACCAGTATTTCGTGGTGCCATTTGGCGGCAAAACCACTCGGTTCAGAGGGCCCTGGGTCATAACCGTTTACATGTAGTGTCATTTGGCGGCAAAGCTGTAGGTTAGAGGACACGTACCACGTCTTTACTAGCAGGAGATTATTTGATAATGGATCCTAGTGATATTTTCGATTATGCATTTGGCTCTATGTGAGCTAAAGTAAATTTCAATTTATCCACCCCAGCAAACTATTGCGGAGGGTGGATGGATTTTGCTTTAAGTGAATGGATGGATTATTTCAATTTTAAATATTTTGGAATTTTGGGATTTTGAGTGGCATTTTTGGAGTTTTGGAATTTGAATGGACTTTTAGGAGGCATTTGAAAATGCCTGAAATTAACCCCTCCGGTTGAGATCTTCAATCAACGCGGCCATCATCGGGGTGCTTGTGGTCATTTCCCTTTTTGGATTGAACATTGTCGACTTGGCTGAGTTGTTGATCGAGGATCGGGTTTCTCGTTGGTTTTGTGCTTTTGGTTGTGAATTTTCTTTGTTAAAGATCTTGAAGGCCTAATATGAATGTACAAAATAAATATTCCGGTCAATTTCATGATCGTATATTTATTTGATGGTCTGAACCCTGCCCATTCCTATTTATCTTGCTTAGGAGGATCGGATTTCGTAGGCTTCGTGCCTTTATTTAGTGAACTCTCTTGATTATAGGCTTTGAAGGCCTAATATGAATGTATTAAAACAAATACACCGGTCCCCACAATCGTGTATTTATTTGAAGGTTCGAACCCTGTCGACTCCTATAGGTCTATATAGAAGGATTGGGTTTGAACTTGAATTCACTTGTTGACCCGCGCAGCATCCCTAGAAGTCACGTGTGTACCGATAACACGCTCACCCCATGCAGGTCGGGATTATATTTTCCCCTTTAGTGTACCTATGTGTATACAATTTATAGTATACATGCAGGGGTATTTTAAAATAATTGTAGTTGTGCAAATAACTACCATTTGGACGCACACAACTTTTCATTTGAGAGCTTATACACGCCTTCTGTCCGCTAGTACGAATGTTGCGGATCCGGTGGCGTTGTTATCTGGATGTCCTTAGGCATCTTATCATCTTGATGTTGACTCCCCCTTTCTCATTCACCGGGGAGACTTTCTTGAAATTCGTGGTCGCTGCCTTGAGAGGAACTCTTTTCAAGATCGTCAGTGTAGTAGACTTGATATTTCTGATATTTGTGGATGTCAGAGTTGTTTTCCTTCATGAGTACAGGATCGAGAAAGAATTTTGGAACACCAGGAAGTTTAGTTCGAATTTGCTCAAACATCTCTTCCATTCTACCAGGGGGTGTCCTTTTTCGTACATAGAGTCGCCCTTATACCCGACGTATTTAGTAGCATTTTAGTCACCATTGTTGTAGGTGACATCTATACTTGTGCCCACAGTGATTCATCGTACCTACGATATGTCCACTGTTGTTATCCACAAGTGGCTCATGTACATTTGCAGGGGACCGTTGTATTTACTACAACCTCCTAGAAGTGTTTGCAAGAGGTCATTATTCCTGCATCATATCCACCTTTCACAAATCTTAGGTGGGTCTTGATTGTACTTGTTTGTAGGAGACTAAATCATCATTATCGATTGACGGTGTTGCCATCTTCAATCAATAGGCAACATCGATTATGTTGGAGATAATAATAGCGCATGTAAAACACATGTATGCATTCTGCAACCATTTATCTTCATTGCAAGTACGGTGCATTTGACCTCGTAGGAACTATTATAGGAATTCGTTGCATTCAGGTTCTACTTGATACTGCCCAACTCAAATTCAATGTTTACAAGCTTCTGCTTTGAGTTCAAATTTGTTGTGTTTCATTTGAGTTCAAGTCTTCTGAAATCTTGTTCGATTCATGTTAGAGTTCACTTGCATATGATTTCAATTTAGTTCATTTAGCTTTGTTCAATAGTCTCCAATTCGAGCTCAAGTTCAAGTCCCCTGTTGTTCATACAAGTCCTCTACACATTTAGTTCAAGTTCTATCCATTTCTGTTCAAGTACAGGTCCTCTATTGTCCTTCGTATTGCTGCTCAAATGATGTCATTATATTGTTCAGGCTTTGTGTATTTCAGTGAAAATTTCGGCAGCACCCCGGCATATCCCCCGTTTGGGGGAAATATAGGGGAGCTGGGCCTTCCCACCACGCTACTCGAGCGTGTATGGTAGGTGTCCTTAGACATCGCGGTCATACAATTTTTCATCCCACCACGCTACAAGAGCGTGTATGGGGCCTTCAGCAGTATCCATACCAGAACACCAGTGGCTCTCCCCACCACACTACAAGAGCATGTATGAGGCTTACCCACCTCGCCGTATGCATTGCACCGGGCTCCCTCTTACCGTGCTACAAGAGCGCGTATAGGTGGTTCCCCGGTCCGCCGCAAACATCGAGAATGAGATTTGGGAGATTATACCTTACGTAGCAGTCGGTGGCGGTGCTGATGTCGAGGTCGAGGATCGTCCTTACCACGCTACAAGAGCGTGTATAGGGCTTACCCGCCTCGTCGCACCTGTCGCACCGGATTCTCCCCCACCGTGCTACAAGAGCGCGTATAGGGGTTCACTGGCGCATCAAGCGCGTCGAGGATAGGGTTTAAGTTAGAAATGTATACCTTGAAGTCCGACGGTTGCTTGTGGATCGAGGCAAGGGAGGCTCGTGGACCAAGGTAGGAGGGCAAGTATTGTTTTTATTATTAATTATAATTAATATTAATTATAGTAATAATTAATTAATTATAATCTATAATTAATTATTAATTATTAATTAATTATAATTAGTAAATTAATTGTAATTATAATTAGATAATGA